AAGGGGAGGGTGAAGGGACATCCCCAGGATCCCTTGCTGCCTGTCCGGCTCCCACCACCTGGCCTCTGGGCTTTGGGCAGTGGCCGGGGCAGAAACAGTGCCAGGTGCCCAGGCCGAGGGGAGAGAAATACAAGGGAAGAGGTTTCAGTTCTCCCTCTTGGCCTCTATTTTAGGATGACAGGGTTTCAAAGCACTTATTTTTACTAGAATTTCAAATCAAAACATAGACATAATAGTCTCCATCCTAAATGAGGTACAGACATGGCACAGTAGCAGGCAGAGCCCAGTGCCCCAAGTATAGGAACCAGAAGTAGTAAACTGTGTCCCTAATCTTAATCCTTTTAAAATGAAGAATAGAGCTCCAAAAGAAAGGTCTCAGACAGATGTTTCGAGAGCATGCTGTCTTCCTCCCCTGACCTGCCTGGTTCAGCGTGGACACTTGGTAAAGCCCGAACACAGGGCGTGCCAACATGATCAGAGCTGTGTTCTGGGCCAACACTTCATAGTTCTGTAACTGAGTGGCTGCGTGGGAGAATGAGGGGCATAAGAGGGGCTCTGCCCAACCCTTCAGCAGGGCCAACCCTCACTGGGGAGGGAGCAGCCCGTCCCCACAAGACACTGCTGGTGGCCTCTGCTGCCTCTGCTGGTGGCCTGGAACAGCAGGGTCCATCCCACTGCATTCCTGAGAAGTCAGGGAGAGGCTGCTGCCGGTGCCACGGGCAGGTGACAGCGTGCAGCTGCTTTGGCGTTGGATGGTCCCTTGGAGTGTCCTCTCCCCACGGCACCTGGGGCTGAACTGCCTCTGACTGCAAAGAGTGGGGCGGGAACCCTCTGTGCAGGACGCAGCTGTGGCAAAGACTCCATACCGACCAGAGCCTCGACTTCCTGGAGTCTCTTCAGCTGGAGGTCAGGGCTGGGTGGGTAGACAGACTGTGTGGCTGAAGCTTCAGGGAGGTGGGGACTTAAAGGGCAGTCTGGACCTCCCAGGGCAGTGCTGGGGGTGGGGGTGGGGTTGAGCTCAATGGGGAGGGCATGAACTCTTAGCCCCCCAGGCCATGGTCCTGAGGACAATGACCTCGGCCTTCCCATCTGGGCCCTGGGGGTTTACAAGGTGGAAAGGAGGAGAGACGGATTGGGGCTATTCACAGGCAGGGTTTTATAGATCTTTTCCCACCCTTTGGTGCTGTCTGGGAGATTGATCGGCCAAATAAGGCATTTCTGTTTCAGTCCAGAGGGTGTGAATAGAGGGAGGAGGCCATCGGCCCAGACTGGGGGTGGAAGGAAACCGGGAGTTCCCAGGACCAGGACCAGCCCCAACCTTCTGCTGGGATGGTGGGTGGGCATCGGGCACCCTGGGGTTGGAGCAGGGCACAGAGGCAAACAGGGCCCTCAGGAAAAGACAAGCCGGAGCAGCCCACTCTCGGGAGCCGGGCTCGGAAAGGGTTGGTGACAGCACCAAAAACGTGTGTGTAGTGTGCGTGTATGCGTGTGTGTGTGAGAAATGCAAAGCAGAATGCAGAAATGCAGATAAAGTCCTCTCTGATCACATATTTCTATCTATTCCAGACAGTGCACAGAAAACTGACCTGGTTCCTGAAGTGTGTTGGAGAGAACATGAGTTCAGGCCTCTGGCTTCTCAGCCCCAAGGACTGGGATGGGACAGGCTGAACTGCTGGGGATCTCCCCACCCTCTTCTGGCTGCTCTGCCACTTCCACTGTCACAGCCGAGGGGGTGTGGGTGCAGGGCTCCCTGCCCTGGCGGCTCCTCTGGGCTTGGTCTGGAAGCAGAAATGCAGGGTGCACACCACGCTGTTTCCCTAAGTCTTCTTGGCGCTCCTTTTGCCGGCCTTTGGCGATGGGTCCACCATTGTGAGGCCCAGTTCCAGTGCCATGGGTGGTACCGAACTGCCCAGAGTCCCATGTTCCAGAAAGTTCTTTCCGCCTCTAAGAGTCTTCCCTTGTTGTCCTAGGCCTGGCAGAACAGGCCACGGAGGCAGAAGTGAGTGTCCTGGCTGCTCCTCAGTGTTTATTTTTCCATATAAATTTTGGAATCAGATTATCTAGTTTTCTTATTAGGATCCTCTTGAGCCTAATTTATATCTCTGTAACCGTGTTTCTATAAGGACATCTTTCCAGAAACAATGAACCACCAGCTAGAGCAATGGTTCTCAATTGGAGAGTGGGTGGGGAGGTTCCCTGAGACATTCTGGAGAAAGTCTGGTCTCTTCTGGCTGGTAGGTAGCGGGGAGAGGCCAGGGATTCTGCTCCCCGCCCCCACAGCGCGCAGGATCCCCGCCACAGGCTTACCTGCTCCACACGGTTCTAGCGCCGCACAGAGAAACAGCCTCACGTGCCCACACGCTTTCTGCCAAGGGCTCTCCTCTTCCTTTCCCTGCTGAGAGGTTGGACTGTTTTATGGGACTCAACCATCTCTACTGCTCTAGAAGGGCTCTGAAAACCTCTATCAGGTTCATCCCAGACCCAAGCTTGAGGTCTTGGAAGGACTTCCCACACTCCCCTCGGGGCTGTCCCCCAAGGGCGCAGGCCACACTGCTGCTGGGCCACGGCCCCCGGGGACGCTGATGGTCTTTGGAAGCTTTCCCTTCACAGTGACTTCACTAGACACTGAAGTGATGCTGAGCCAACTCCGAGTCCCCTGGGCACAAGGCCAGCCCCACACTGCAATGGAGAGGGGGGCAGCAGGAGTGCACAGAGACATCGTTGCCAGTGGCAGTTAAATTCTCTCTACAAATTTTGTAAAAACAGATGATCACGAGCGTGGTGCTGGGGCCGCTCCCAGGGCCTGTGAAGGGCCAAGGAGTGGAAGGCCCTGAAGCTCACAGCCCGTCCGTGTCCTGATAAATCTGCCCATGGTCTTAGCAGCCCCATTCTGCTGTGGCTGGGTCTGCCAATGACCTAAGAGCAGGTCTGGTGCAGGCTGGTGGGAGAGACGGGAGAACTGGATGTCCTTTTCCTTCTTGGAGGCTCATCAGGCACGTCTCCACTCAACAGCTTTCTTGAACTTGCAGAGAAAAGACGAACTCCACTAGAGCCAACCCCGTGTGTCTGGGACCGTTAGGTGTCTTCCTTGTGAAGCCACTCGTCAGTGGCTATTCTGCTGGTGCGAGCTGGAGGCATCTGCCTGGCACAGACAGCCTCTGGGTCTCAGTCTCAGGGCTGGATGTTGCCTCAGGCCTCCGTGCTCTGAGCGCTCCAGCGGTGGCACAAGGCTCGGCTGCCTGCGGGGCCTTCCCCTGCATTCTCACCAGATCCCGTTTATAGCTCGAACCCTACTTCTTTGAACTTCAAAAAACTGAAAGAACCCACATGTCCAGACTTTCCCCCAGTCCAAGGCAACTGGACAAGGAGGTAGCATTTACGATCTCCTTCTCAGCCTGCTCCTGAGTTTCTCTGCCCTGACTCCTGTGGCCGCTGGGTGCAGGCTTGCTCAGGAGTGGAGGGAGCACAAGGCTCCTGGCTTCCTGGGCTGTCGAGGGGAGGGAGGGCATCTGACCCGTCCACTGTGCACTCCCCCTCCATCTGCACTTTAGGAGACTCCTTCCTCCTCAGCGAAGTGAATGCAATGATGCACAAGCCCTTCTGAAGAGGTCGGCTCGTGCCCTGCTGAAGATCAGGGCCTGCCGGCGAGGCTGCACAGCTGTCCCTTCGGTCTGGGGAACAGTCCTGCTTCCCTGTGTTTCCCCCTGTGGAGCATTTCTCCCCTTGTTAGTGACTTTATCAAGGGGGGAAGGGCAAGGGGAGAAAGTAAAATCAGTAAACAAACCAGTACCTGCTGTCCCCTTGATGAAAGCCCTCCCAGTCGGTGGGGGGTCACTCCAGACACGTTTACCACCGGGCTGCCAAGAGCTCACCGGGACGAAGACTAAAGCCCCATCAGATCAGATACTCTGGTAGGGCTGGCTCAAATGTCCAAGGCTTACGAGAACTTAGAGGCTTTGTAAAGGAACTGGAGATACTAGAATCAGGACAGGAAGGAACCTTCCAGAAACGCAGCTTCAACAGTCTGAGGTGGGTAAGTCTTGCTGATACTGTTTGCTGTGAAATACAGCACGAGTGAATTTCCACCACAGGAGCTGGATTCCTGACAGGCACTCACGGTAGGGAATATCCAGGCTCCCACACGATGGTCCCCTTCTTCATGCCCACAGAGGCTGCTCACAGCTTCCATGGCAAATAACACAGATGTTCTTGACTCCAAATGAAGTCTACAAATCATTTTTCAACTACTGCACATTTTGATATGAAAGTAATAATGGTGGTAGTTGCATCTATTTTACCAGAACACTGCTTTAATTGCAACATTTCTCAAAAGGCAGGCTCAGGTCAAAAATTCTTGAATTTTCTAGATCTTTAGGTGGATCCATATACCAAAACAATAATGCCCCTAAAACCACAACCTCTAATCCAAAAAATGTTACTCCTACCTCAAACAGGAGCCCAGACTAAGGGTGATTCAGAGATTACTAACACATAAATGAAGGTGGACAGAAAGTTCTGACTGACTCAACCACCAGAATGCACACAGAAAAGCACATAATCAATGCATATCAAGAATAAACCTGAAAGGGGAAACATTTTTTAATTAATGTGAAGAAATATTGGGGTTACCAATTCTTTATTAGAAACTTCTAATTCCCAGGGCACCTGGGTGGCTCAGTTGGTTAAGCATCTGATTTAGGTCATGATCGTAGGTTCCTGGGATCAGGCACCTCATTGGGCTCCCTGCTCAGCAGGGAGTCTGCTTCTCCCTCTCTCTCTCTGCTCCTGCCCCCCCACTCATGGTCTCTTTCTCAAATAAATAAAATCTTAAAAAAAAAAAAAATTTTTTTTTTGGAATTCCCACTTTGGTTAACTAGACAACTGATACATAATTGCTTCTAACGTTTCCAGAACATGTCCTATACTCTCCTGTCAGCCATCCTTGAGGTCATACAAGCGCCTTTGGTGGCAGCATTTAGCAAACAGAAAGCAAAGAGAGGTAGCACTGGAACCGGCTTTACCCCGTTGGCAAGTACCGTCCTCCACAGCAGGGCTGGCTCGCGTGCCCACCAATGAGCAGTGGTCCCATTCACGACCACTTTGCTATCAGTCTCAAGTGGACCCTGTTTCCCTTCTAAGGTCCCCGAGAGGCTCCTCGATGAAGAATTTCTCAGGGAAGCAAGACAGTGTGGCTTCATCTCAAATCCCTGCAGGTCAAAAGAAACACCAGTAACAGTAACACGATTTCTGAAAGAGACCTGTGCAAAAGAACAAAGTTACTTTCTGAATTGATCAGTGGTTCATGCATTTCTTGGTCCAAAGACTTTGAACCAATCAAGTCACAGTTGCGTATCTTGGTTTGATATGAGGGAAAACAGAAGTAAAAAATCTGTTCTCCGATGCAAGCCTTTAGTGATTCTCTGACAGCTGGGCTGAACAGGTAGGGAATGCTAGAGGCCACAATCCAGTCACGAACAATAAACTGGACTGAGTTTGGGCTAAAGGACCTGTCTTTTCACTTCATAAAATATGTACCAGCAAATCATGCCAAGCTGTCTAGGGCTCATTCTCACTACTCATTCCATGAAGAGACGGTTTCATTACCTCACGAGGCCACAGGGAGCCCGGTGCCTACACAGCAGTGCCAGCTGGGCGCAGCTCTGCGAGGAGTTCTCTGGCCAGCTTTCTCGGCCTTGTGGCTTCCATGCGGAGATGATCCCATCTGTACAAGGTCTGGTCAAGAAAGCCAGTCATCTCGTGGGCTAACTCATCAGTTGGAGCCATCTGCAATGAGGACAGAGGAGAAAGAAAACTAAAACACTAACCAGGCAGATTCATCTCTTAGTCCAGTGAACCAACCATACCCCTCCTTCCCCGAAAAGCAGCTGCATTCCTTTTAGCTTCGAAGGGTTCTTGTTTCGTTTGCAAGGTGATTAGGGAGCAAATCTGTTCTCAGAGGTTGGCCATCCAGTGGGCAGTATCATTTCCTAGTGACCACCCTCTTCGGACGGTAAGGCCGAGCCTCACAAGGGCTACAGAAAGGCTCCACATTTCCCGGAATGCCCTCACAAGCCCCGCCGTCATCCGCCGCAGGGAGCGAAGGCAAGTGGACTTGCTATGGCCCGACTGCCTGCACACAGCTCACACTAACACGAGAGCTGGAACCCGCTGGAAGGAAAATGCCACCTGTTTCCACACGAACAGCTTTATAAATGGCATTCTTGGGCTAGCAACCTGGGCCCACTTGTTTTTTAATAGCCATCTAAGGTTTTAACACCTGATTCTCAAGGGAAGCAGGAAATGCAGGAATTGTTAGCTCTGCTAAATATAGCCTCAAGGCATTCTTAGTTGTTGGTGCCTAAGTATTTTCCCAAGAATTTCAGCTCAGCAAAAAGGGAAGGGTGAGCATCTCACGATTGAATTGTGTGAATAATTTCCCGTGATTTTTTTTTTTTAGACACAAGCACATGAAGAAGCCCTGATTCTGGAACTGATCTATAAACTCACTTTGTGTGGGACACTTTATACAGACCCTTCAGTCAAACGGCAGCCGAAGGTCAGCTTCCCACCCATGTCCACACGGGGCCTCTGATAGGGTGACCGCCTGCCCTGGGGCACTCGGACAATCCTACCACCCCGGAACCCCTTCAGCCCAGGGCCGCTGTCTGCCGTGGACCAGGCGCTGAAGCAACCGCTCTGGCAGCAGAGGATGCTGGGGACACAGCGCGACAGCATGACTCTTCAACTCCGGCTGACAGGGGCTCTGCCAGGGTGTCGGGGGCAGGCCACTGGCCAAGGGGGGCTTCACTGTGGCTCTTGGTGTCCATATTAACCACTGTGTGGGGGTTTTTGTTGTTGTTGTTTTTACTGTGTTATTTTAGTCACCATACATCATTAGTTTTTGATGCAGTGTTCCAAGATTCATTGTTCACATACCACACCCAGTGCTCCATGCAGTCCGTGCCTCCTTAACACCCACCACCACGCTCACCCCTCCCCCTACCCCCAAACCCTCACTTTGTTTCTCAGAGTCCACAGTCTCGCGTGGTTTTCACTCAGAATCACAGGTGCTGTGGATGACCTCTGTCAGATATAGTCTGTCTTTGCGGAGAAACTGCATGAGCCTTCCTGGAACACCTTAAAAGAGTCAATCTTCTTCCTAGGCCCTAAGTGTGGGGAGAGTGCCAGTGACCCCATGGGCTCCCCTGGGCTGTTAGTACAGCAGGGGCGTAGCCATAACAGCTGACTGTGGAGGCCACCTGTCCTGACCTTGTGTCCCCAACCTTGTGTCATCTCCACGAGCCAGGTATGGTCTCTAGTCCTGCACGCCCGCCTCCCTGCAGCCCAGGCAGGCAACCTGCACTGTGGGCTGATGTGCATCTGTCTAGAGATGAAATTCATTTGAGTTCAACAACTATAGATCTGAACTCTCTATTTCAGATGGGAGCTTTTACCAGGAACTTCTGTGGTCCAGCAACAAAGATGGCAGCAGAAGGAGAGAGAAACATGAACTCAGGACAGGACAGGAGGCAGGAGAGAGTGAGCCTCAAGGGCAGGAGGAATCCCAACACCACCTGAGCTGCTTCTGCCTCATCCTAGTCAAAGGGGCACAGAGGAAGTGAGCAGGCAAGAAACCTAGTAGCCAGAAGAGCAGAACACCAGGCATGAAGGGGCAGGGCTTCCGCAGAAATTGTTCAGTGGAAATTCTCAGAAGCCCAAGGTGGGAAGAAGCTGATTACTGGGGCCTGTGCAGGAGCCCAGGGGAGTAGTGTGTAGGGAGGAGGCTGGGGTGTGGGAGGCCACAGCCTTTAGACAGGGCTCAGACACACAGCCCCTGCTGTGTGCAGCCTAGAGTGCGCACGGCTCCCCAAAGTTGATGCGGGGATAAGAAGGGTAAGACCAGGAGCTCAGGAGCTGTTCTGCTCGGGCCTGAGTTCACATCAAAGCTGGGTCAGGGATGGGGTCCTGAGGGATCCTGGAAGAGAAAGGCCATTTCACCACAGCCAACACCTCGACCATTTGCCACCACCTGCTCCCAGGCCAAGCAGACCTAGCCCAGGACTCCTTCCAGGGCGCTTTCAGAGAGAGGAAGTGATGCGATGGGGGATGAGGAGAAACCCGAGAGAGGCTGGCACTGTGCAGAGGACTCCTTCCATCTGTCCTTCTGTAGCTCCATCAGCCAGGATGCCTTCACCCTGTCATGAGCCACTGCAGGAAGCCTTCCAGTTAGGAAGTCTGGTATATTACTAAAAATAGTTTCAAAACACCCACAAGGACAGTGTCCAGGAGGTTCTCTAGATCGTGATGGATGGGCTCCAAGGTGCCCAGACCGCTAGCACCTACTAAAAAGCCAATGTGTAAAGAGAACTACTGTGTTTTCCCTTCAGTGAATTTTTTTTGCAGCCGAGCAGACTTAGGATATTTTATGAAGATTCACTGGAGTTTTCCAACTTCACTTAGCCTCCGGTGTAGGTCAGCAGCACTAATGTATGTCTAGGACTGGACTGTTTAGTAGGAATGGGCTGCCGAGGAGAGGCAGCAAGCATAAATTTGTGATAATACTCTATCTCCTCATTCACAGCATCTTCTCTATGGGGTGACTTACGGATGATCCAATCTGAATGTGGACTGTTGCCCCAGAATGGGTGGATATGTGATCGGGATAAACACGAGTATTCTCTGGGCCACTCTTCTTTTTACACCCTACGGGCAGGGTCAGGCCTGCCGTCATCTCCATGGTTTGTGAAGCAGGGCAAACTCCAACATGGGCCTGCTTCTCCATTCCCAAGGTAACAGGATAGAAGCAGAACAGGAGCTCCCTGGGGAGAAGGAGAGCACAGGCTCCGGGAGAAAGAGCTTGAGTACCAGCTGCCAGGCTTGAGAAAGCACCCTCAGGGCAGAAGCTCCATCCATAGGAGGTCAGAGATCAGGTCACAAAAGTACCACCAGTGTTCTCATGATTCACAAGTGCCTGCTGTTGACTTATCATGTTGAGAAATAATTGCAATATCTCATTTGTTTCAGGCTTGTATCATAGTGACTTGATATTTTTATATGTTATGAAATGATCCCTGTGATGTCTAGTTATCAGGTCATCAAAGTTATTACAGTAATACTGGCTATATTACACATGTTGTACATTATGTCCTCACGGACTTATTTTTGTTCACTTGTTTTGTTTTTTAGACTCCATATGTAAGCGAAGTCGTATACCTGTTTTCCTCTGCATGACTTCTTTCACTTAGCATATACCCTCTTAGTACATCCATGTTGTCTGCAAATGGCAAGCTCTCATTCTTTTCTACAGCTGTGTAATATTCCATTACGTACATACACCACCTCTCCTTTATCCATTCGTCTACTGATGGACACTTAGGTTTCTTCCATATCTTGGCTATCGTAAATGAAGCTGCAATAAACAGGGAAGCATATATCTTTTCAAATTAGTGTTTCCGTTTTCTTTAGGTAAATAGCCAGTAGTGGAATTACTGGATTGTATAGTAATTCTATTTAAAAATTTTTGAGGAACCTTCATACTATTTTCCACAGTACTTGCACCAATTTACATTCCCTCCAACAGTGCACAAGAGTTCCTTTTTCCACATCCTTGCCAACACTTGTTTCTCTTGTTTTTGATTCTAGCCATTCAGACAGGGCTCTAGGACTGATTCCTTTATATTTTAGTTGGCTTTTTAAACTATGGCTTTTTTTTTTTTTTTTTCTGTGCCCCAGGGCAGACAAATCTACTCATGGTTCCTCAGTACTATCCCTCTCCAATATAGTTCCAGTGTGTGTGGGGGGGGGGGGGGGGGCAGAGGGTTTCCCTTCGTTACCGTGTTTCCATCTTTCTTGCCATTCTCTATGTGGTCTATCTTCTGTTATGCAGAAGATGTTCAGTCAGCCCTCAGTTCTTCAGAAGGAATTGTTCCATAAATAGGTATAGATTTGGTGTGTCCATGGAAATAGGCGAGTTCAGCATCTTCCTAAATAGCCATCTTGGACCAGAATTCATGACTTAATTATTTTATAACTGGAAGCTTGTTCCTCTTAATCCCCTTTACCTGTTTCACCTCCCCCACCCCCAACAACCACCACTCTGGTAACTATCAATTTGTTTACCGTATCTATGAGTCTGTTTCCATTTTATTTTGCTTTTTCATTTGTTTTGTTTTTAAGTTTTAATTTTATTTTTTTAAATAGTCAAGGACATTTTAATTTTATCTATCTATCTACTTTAAGTAAGCTCTATGCGGGGCTTAAACTCATGACCCTAAGATCAACAGTTGCATGCTCTGCCAGCTGAGCCAGCCTGGTGCTCCATTTTGTTTTTTAGATCCACATATAAGTGAAATCATATGGTGCTTATATTTCTTCTTTACTTATTATTTTTTTAAAAATCTTCTCTTTATTTTACTTAGCACAATACCCTCAAGGTCTATCTATGTTATTGCAAATGGCAAGATTTCATTTTTTAAAAATTTTTTATGGCTGAGTAATATTCCATATACATACCACATCCTTTTTATCCTTTCATGTACTAATGGACATTTACATTGCTTCCATATCTTGGCTATTAAAAATAATGCTACATTGAACACAGTGCTGCATATTATCTTCTTGAATTGGTGTTTTCATTTTCTTCAAATACCCAGAAATAGATTTGCTGGATTATATAGTAGTTGTATTTTTAACTTTTTAAGGGACTTCCACATTGTTTTGTATAGTGGCTGCACCAATTTACATTCCTGCTGTAGTGTATAAGGTTCTCTTTTCTCCACAGTCCT